ACTTGTAATACGTGTTTTAATCCTGCAGTACAGGACCAAAAACCAACCTTGAGAATTTCTATATGTACAATACTCTTGTAAAGCTGGGAATAAGGAGCCATGGTTTTTCCCTAGTTTATCACTGCAGGATAAAATGTTTGCACTTCTTCCAAATTCAGTCAGGGATGGTGTCTGAAGCCCGTACCAGGTACTAATCATAGCCTGTTAGTATCAGGGAGAGTGAAAATACTATGGTCATTACAGTTGTTTTTTTGTTGTTGTTTTCTCAAAGAATTGTCCAAATGGATTTGTAGATTGTTGTTGCACTTCGTACAACTCTCAGGCTACCTGGCTCACTCTGAAGTCCTGTTAGAAGCCATCTGTGTGTGTCAGTGGATTGTAAGCAGCCTTTTACTGTCACTAACTAGCTCAACAGCAGGCACGGACCTGGCTTTGTCTGGGTAACGTCCCAGGGATTTAAGCTGTTCCAAGTCATTTTCTATTTAAATGCTGTGTAATGGACTTTATTGCTGATTACTGTTGGAAATGCTCTTCAGTAGACAAGCTGACTCTGTTTTACATGCAGCAAGAAAGGAATATAAGGTTATATTCTGTGGTAGAAAGCTTTTGTGGAGAGTTACAGTATCCTTAGTCATTCCTGGTTCCTACTTACCCTTGTGTGGCAAACCATGTGTTTTGTCAGTCAGCAGCGGCCTTCCAGCTGGGAGACTTGAAAAAAAGTAGCATATACAACCTGAAAGGTGACTGTGCTGCTGAATACTAGCCTTTTTAAAAGGTGGAAGGGAAAATTTTGCATATCCCGAAACTGTGTCAGGAGTTCTGTCCAAGCATCTGCCTCATCTTATGCTGAGGCCAGAGAGAGTTGAAACCTGAAAGATTTTCTGTGGAGCTTCAAAGAGCTTCCAAATGTCCATGGCTACTTTGAAGGAAGTAATAACTGCATAGACAGCAGTGGGCAAGATTATGAAGCCTATTTTGCAGACTTGTCATCAAATGACAATTTGGTGTGCTTTGTTCAATATTCACAGTTAGGTAGAGAGCAATTATGCAGAAAATGTAAAACTCTAAATCTTTTTTAAAATCTCTTCGGGGAGGAATCTATTACTAGGTCATCTTCAGCAGGACATTGGTCCCGTTAAAGAAGTGTCTCTTCACCTGAGCTAAAAGCATCAGCCAGCATGATACCAGAGGTTTCTGTAATTCTCAGTCATGAGCAGATGCAGAGGAGGGACTTCTTACTGCCTGTGAGACATCAAAGGGGTTGTCTTTCTTTTGCACCAAGCGTATGTTTGTATTTTGTACTCGTTTTCTCTGTGGATAGATAAGGATTGATGCGCTAAGAGTCTTCTATTAATGTAATCAAACAACATTTGCAGCGTTGTCTTATGTGCAAGTGTTACAAATTGCTGAGGTTTATTTTCATACAGTCGTTAAACCAGTGCTTCCAGGTCCACGGATCAACAAGGCTTCTCTATTTTAATCCTATATTATTCAGACTGTTGGAAATTAATTAAAAACTCTTCCCTGAATGAATTGGTTGGACTGATCCCTAAATCCCTACTGTTACAGCCAGAGTATATTGTGTCTGCATTTCTGGCATCTTAAGACAGTAATAGTACATGTGAATATTATTTGAGAAATTAGTAGTGCTGAATTTGGAGGGGAAAGTGTGAACTATAGAAGTAAAACCTTTACTAGAGTTCTTTTTCTTAAGATTTTTAGTAGCAGACATAAGTTTTAACACACTGCTTACTAGAAATGTAAGCAACTGAAGTTATATTTTTCTATTTTTTCAAATGTTTTAGAGCATACTTAGCGTAAGTACCTTATAGATATGCGGCTAGATAAGAATTTACATTGTTTCTGGATATCAGAAGGGTGACTTTGACAAATAGGGGCAAAGTGATGTTAAATCACGGAGAAAGGAAAAAACAATCTCACCAAGGATTATTTGCAAGCAAAACAATCTAAGGTTTTACATAAGGGAAGTTGTCCAGACTGCAAGCAAATGCTTTGCTAAATCAGAGCTCTGTCCCTCTGGATACGGGACGATTCTTAACTGTGCTCCTGGAGGCTTATCAGTATGCTGTGTGTTCAGCATCTAAATGAAATACCGCCCAGAAGTTGAAACAACTTGAGAGATGGAGCATAATTGTGGTATTTATATCCCTCAATTGTTAAATGTGTGAAAGAAATTGTTTAGAAAGCAGTATAAAGGTAATGCTGGTTTCACTTCCTGGAGCCTCACTCTCCTTGTTAAGTCACAGACTCTCAAACATTCTAATTCTTAATGAAGTTCATAGGAATCAAGCTCTTAAGCAATATATAAATATATTTTAAATTAAACATTTTGAGGATTTTGGCCAGTTTATTCAAAGGTGTGTATTCCTGATTTAGTCCTGCAATGACAGTTGTGTACAGTAAGTATTTATAACCTTGACAATTGCTCTATTTCCAGTCAGATATCTAGTCTTCAATTATGATAATATTATTAATTAATTAATCAGAAATGAACCTTTCCTAACTTGAAACTCTGTATGGATTATGACTCAGGTCATACCTTCCGGTAAGAGAGGTCTTAAGCAGAAAACATTTCAAGAGATCTTAAATGGATTACTTCATCTCTTTTCTGTAGGAGCAGATTGATATATTGGGAGACAGTATGAACCCGTGTGAAGAAGAGGAGCTTAGTTTTTAAGCTACTGATTGTAGGATTGAGTTATGATCCTTGGATGTGTTTCTGTGACTTGAAGTGATTGCCAGATATTTGTTGATTCTAACAAGCAGAAAGGATGAGAATATCAAGATCTTTACCTTCATCTTAAAAGTGTGCAAAACAACAAGCAGATGGGTTTCCATGGTCATGAGAAGAGAATTCAGAATCCAAATTATTATTAGATCAAATAGTTGTGAATTGTGCCAGTTTAAGTCTAAGTCTCAGGTGAGAAACTCTTGGTAAGCTTAAAGCTAGCTTTAAATACCACGCAACAGTATATAACTACCTTCCTACTTTTCCTTTGCATGTGTGTGAGGCTGAGATTTGATCAACCACACTGAGACGATCAGTTAACAAAAATGACTTGGTACTAATATATTTGGAACATTTATCTGCCAGCTCTGCAGATGATTTTTTACTTTTTCATAAAAGAAAATAAACCCTTGGATTTCCCCTTACCCCACTCCCTGCCGGCAGTTGCATCATATACTACAGCTCTGATTCTAGAAGTTGAAGTTTTAATACCATCTCAAGGATTTGCTGAGATGGCTTTCTCTACTGAGAAAGTTAATGAATAATAGATTTTTTTTTTAATTTATGTAACTGCTTAGAAGCTCAGGTGAAAGCTCACATGAACGTATTAACTCACAATGAACCCAAAGAAGTGGATTTAGTAATTTTTTTTTCTCATTTTATTTTTTTTCCACTGAAATCTTTAGATAATTTACGCTTTCCACTGATACATGTAATAATTATTTGGGTCAAATACATGCTCCATCTAGTTAGTCAATCATATGACAATTAAATACAAGCCTTACACTTCAAGTAAGGAGTAGCTACTTATTTTTTTTTCCCTCAAGAATACAAACTAAGTTTTCGTTGTTATTGTTATCTGGCTTTCTTTTTGTTTTTGCAGCATTCAGATTAAAGATACCTGAATTAACAGTTCTGTGAAAGTGCAACAGTAATTGAAAGGTCAGTGGGCAGCTTTGATCCAGAAGGTATGGTTAGCCTGTTACTTACCGTGCAGTATCTTTAATCTTGCAGTAGAGTCCTATGTAGCTGCTGAGTGCTACCTAAAAAAAAAAAAAAGGTTCCTCAAAAAGTATGTAAAAATACTTTTTATCAATGTATTATTTGGAGCAGCCCCAAATCTGCTCCAGTCAAACAAAAGGTGTTTTTTTTGTTTGTTTTGTTTTGTTTTCTTTCAATTTAGTGCAACAGTGAAGAAATTATGGATTGAGGCATAAGAAAGAGGTGTTTGTGCCAATTACCTGTTATATTACTGGCATTAGCCAAGTGATATATGATTCAGCTTGCTGTAGGCTCTCCTAATTGGCAAAGTGTTCCTAAATGTTCTGCTTGATTCATACGAATGGTTCAGATGTGGGAAAGTATGGAGATAATTTAAAGCAACAGCAAAGCCATAATACTACCTGCCTGAAATAATCTTTCATGTTTAATATTTCTCTGGTGCTTCAGTTTATTGAATACCACTCCCAGTTTTAGGGAAGGACTGAAGACTTGCAAAAGCTGCAAAATAAGAATGCCTAAAAAACTTAAACACTTGCCATGTGAACAAAGCAAACAGTTCAGCCTGAATTGCTTTGAGGGAAAGCAAATGAACTGGATCCAAATATTGCCTGGGTCACCTCCGCTGCTGTCTTACGATGAAAGTTCCCATGTGCTCAAAAGGACTAGTGGAAATTAAGGGCAGGGATGGGAGTGCAGGAGGTAGGAATGCTCCATCTCTCTGTGCATAGACACCACCTGTGGTTTAGGAGTCTGAGCCCTAAACTACTGAAGGCTGGAGGCAGCATCAGTTACCATTTTGTTTATCCTGGTCTTGTACTCTCCTGTAACCATCAGCTTCCTTCAGAGACAGTATTCTGGGTGAGGTGGAACTTGGATCCATCTCCTACCTGTCTGTTCTTACTGTGTGGGTTGCTGTTTGCTGGCTGCAAGCAGAAAGAGAGGGCTAAAAGAGGTTCTCTGCACATTCGAAATGTAGATGCTCTTGGCTTGTCAGTGATACTCTTTTCTTCCTTTCCGACAACGTTAAGATATCCTACCCATCAGCATATCATGTCATGCCAACACAACGCTGTTAATTTTATTATTTGAAACTGTGGTGACCTCTTGAGGAATGATTTTCAGCTTTATTCCTCGGTCATGGAATTAAATTAATTAAAAGCAAGCCCCCCCCCCCAAAAAAAAAAAAAAAAAAAGGAAAAGGGTTAAATACAATGAATGTTTGTGTGGTATCTCTAACCAAGCATATATTGAGCTAACTTCCCTCTGCTTTAGGTATTTTGAGAATTCCATTTTCTATCTTCTGAGGAACTGAAACGCTTCCTGTAAAGCATTTAATTGACTGAGGCTGGGAGTATTCCTGAGGCTGGCCAGTGGGAAATGAAACCTTTCTCTGACTTTATTTTAAAACCCTGACTTTGTCTAATAATGCATCTAAAAACGGTGTGAAGTGACTAGTTTGATACTTCCTTTCCTGCACAATCGGCAGGCACGGCATCTTCCTGTGCACGTCTAGAGCCACATAAGTTGAGACAAATTCTCATCATGCAGCAGAATACCATGTGATTCACAACGTTTCTTCACCTGCTGTGTTGAAACAAGCACAAGGGAAGGCGCTCGGCATTACTACTCCCGAGTTTCACTGAGTTGGACGTATGACATCAGGATTGCCTTCAGTCAGAAATCTTGAAGCGCAGCTTTGCTGGGTGGGTCTCTGAAGAATTTGAAAGAGTTGTGCAGATAGGGCGTGTTTACCTTTGTCAAAGTAGCGAGCGTAATGCCTCTTCCCAGCTAATGTGCTTATGTTCTCTGACTGCAACATCATAAAGGTAGGAATTTCTTTTACTTTTTTTTTTTTCTGGTGTTGTTGTTTGTGTGTTTTTCTTTTTTTCTTTTTTTGCTGCCTCCTTGCGTTAGGTTATGTTCCAAATTCTTGGCGTGTGCTGGTCTCTAACGCTGCCTGTTTTATAAAGGAAAATTAGAGCAACCCTTATAATCGTTTTAGGATGGAGAGGGGAATAGGTGTTGAGATCTTACAGGTTACTAACCTATGACAAAATTGTTATAGGTATTCCAACCTATGGCACCTGCTTTTCTTTTTAGAGAAAAGAAGTACAGGTTACGGTTGTACTTCTGCATCTTTTATCATCATCCTATTAAGTGCTTTTAAGAGCACTTAGTTCTGAACTGGAGGGGAGGAAGATTTATTAACAGGAAAAATATTTTGGTGAATGATGTAAATATACTTGCGGAGAAAACTTAAATTCAATTTGCTTGAAAAAGGTAGTTTAATTTTGTCCTTTAAACACCTAAGAAAAAGGTATTCTGTAAAAAAAATTTGGTTTAACAGAGCTTTAGATATGACTTACCTGTTGAAGATCTGAAGTGTCTGGTGCTATGAATAACACATTCAAATAAGCTGCCAGAAAGGGTTATTTCATAGTAAGGCTAAAAAAAAACTCAAACAGAGGAACCCTGCACATTTTTTCCTCTTACTTTTTGTAATGTATACCTATTTTTAGCTGGCTTCCTAGCTTGGATCAAACCTTCAGCTGGGGTGCCACTGTTGGCAAAGAGGCTGTGCAGGTAGACATTAGCTGATCTCTTGCATTTGTTATGACATGAAGATGCCAAACAGAGGCTGCAATAATGAAATACCAGTTATGTGCTGGCTCCTCCTCTAGTTGGCTTTGTGGGTGGAGAATGTATGGGCAGGTTAAACCACAAAGGAGGGAATAACCAACAGGAGAAATAAGAACAGGGGAGCACAGCAGGCTTAACTTCTGTTTCAGGGTGACGAAGAGATCAATGCACAAGAGATCAAAGTCACTGTGCATACACCATACATGAAGACCTTGACTGTCTACTGGCCCCTGTTTCAGGAAGCTGTAAATAGGACAGCTGCACCAGCACTGTCCCTTTCCCTAATTACCAAGGGCTAATTTAAAGTGTTGAGTCATCCACGGTGCAGGTGAAGAAACCTGCATCCTTTGCTTCTACACCCTCAGGTCCTCTCTCCGGTATCTCATTATTCTGTTACCTTCACATGTTTTGTGGCAGTGCTGTACTTATTACTGCTAATAACGTGCTTATTCTTGATCAAATGATTCTTAACCCTTACCTTAAATATGTGACCAAGAAGGCTCATGCCTCTGGTAAAATCTCCTTTAATCAGTTTGGCATTAAGTTAGACTTGAAGTTTTCATTTCAAATAAAATTCTGTTTTTTTGTTTTGTTTTGTTTTTACACCAAAACTAACACTAATTTTCATGTTTCCCTAGTAATAATAATGTAAGGAAAAAAGTCATACTTAAAAAGATTTTTTTCTTACATTCTGAAAAATTTTACTAAGGATTTCTTGAAGTAAACTCTGCCCCTCTTTGGTCTGCTCAAACTTATGAATTAAGCATCTAAGAACTTGTACTTCTGACCAGGCTTTTTTCATAGAACTGCAATTTCTTTTTGCCCCAAGATTATTGCAGAGATTTATTTCATAGTTCTTTATCCAACTCTATCAATATTAGGGGCTTTAGAGCTTTGAAGTAGGCATAGTTTGCACTATTAGCTATACTTTGTGAGAACTATTTTTCACTTTCCTAAGCTGCCCGAGATCAAATGAAACAAATTTAGATGCTCAGAAACGTTTTACCTTTAAGTAGAGAGAGCGTGGTAACTTTTATTCAAAAATTAATTATTTCAAACAGTTTTGGTTCTCTTCCCCCCAGAGAGCAGGGGAAAATGTAATAAAACTTGCTTGCCACCTTAATTGAGATTTACTCCGTGCTCTTTTGGCCTGCTACAAAATAGAAACCAAGTTACAAGGTAATGTGATAGAATGGTAAAAGAAGTGAAATATTCTAATTGCCTTATAACTAGGCACATGTAACTGTTTACAGTTGAGATTTGTCCGTGTTAGGGAGTACATTTGAAGTTAAAGGTCTCACAGCAGTCTTAAATCAGGTCTTTTATGTGTATAGAGTATTTCAGTGTTTCATCATAATAACCTGATGTTAAGGTCCAACTGCTCTTTTATTTTGTGCTGCCACTGGTTGTATGCGCTCAGGTTGTGTGAAATTTTAATACTTGGACAAATGAGAGGAGTCAATATGCAGAGAGCCTGTAGCATCAACTCAATATCCTTCATCCAATTCTTGCCTCCACAAATGATAGTTCAAACTCTTACATCAGTAAGGCATGGAACAGTTCAGTCAACTGCAAAAAACGTTGCCAAGAAGCAGAAAGGAGCAGTGCCTCCATCCGGCACATACCTACAAGTAACAATTGATGACTGAGTGAGTATTTTGTGTGGTCAAGTTTGCAGTTACTGCCCCAGGGACTAAAAATTTTTAGCATAAAACATCACCAGTGGAGAAACTAATCTGGCATCACATCCAATGATCTCCCAAACTTGCAAGTTGCATTTATGTCCAGAAGATGTATAAAGCAGCTGTTGTACAGTTGAAAGGCTCTGTGGCATGGTATCAACTGTCAACACTTGCATGGATACTAAGCCATTACAAGTTTGGCTTTGTACGTGTGTGGGTTTTTGTTTTTAATTATTTTTTAAATGTTATGATTTTTTAAATGGTATGATTTTTTTTTAAAGGTATCTTTGAGGTGGTTCTGCTATCAGCAGGAAAAACATTGCATAGCTGTTAGAAACAAAGTGTAGGTGCTGTGTATTTTCACCAGTTTCTTGGTGGTGATCGCAGCTGGGAATCTGTGGGCGATGTTCTGTCCAGTATTACGGACCGTAAATCTGCTCCTGAAACTTGTGTGTTAACTCTCGTGTTTATTGCTTTGTCTGAAGCAAAACAAAAAACAGGACCTGTGATACAGTGGGGATCTGATCTTTATTTACTCTTTTAAACCACTTTGGTTTAATGTTTAAGTTCAACAGCCAGGAACAGCTTTACTATCTTTTTGATGTCTGGGGCTCTTGATAATTTTTCCCCCCACATCACTGTACCAACTTAAGCAGTTCTTCACACAGAATCACAGAATTTCTAGGTTGGAAGAGACCTCAAGATCATCGAGTCCAACCTCTAACCTAACACAAACAGTCCCCACATCATTCTTCCAAATGACGAGAGAAGTTGGAGAAGAAGGTGGAGAGGATTGTCTTATCCTTTTTGCTGATTTATTCTTTCCCTGTAACACCTCCAGAGTAGCACTGAGTAGATAGGAAAGATGCCCAGAGAAATTATGCTCGTTTTCCACTTGCGTGTTTGTGTTACCCATCTATTGGGTTTTCTAATTTGTTCAATAAGTAAGGATGGGAAGTTCTCCCAATACATATTCCAAACCGGGATATCTCCTTCTCTTACTTCTTGTAAGTTTCTCTTAGTTCTTGTAAGCAGGAGCTTTTGCATGGAGAACAAAATCAAAGCTTTGCCTGTTTTTTTATTTCCCAGGCTGTAGCAGCCAGAAATTGCACTTCAAAGCAGCTCCTGACTTTGCTTTCCAAAATCTAACCACATAGCTTTTGTCAGACCAAAATTTGCCCTTTTTGCTTAACATCATTAAAAATTCAAGTGTGGCTTTTTTGTTGTTGTTGTTTTGTTTGTTGTTTGTAACTGAGTGTATCAAGGATCCAAGGAGCCCAGTTTGGAAAGAAACTTCACTTTGGTACTTCCCCACTGTGTAGGCTTTCCTTTAATTACAAAGGATGCAGTTCCTAAACTAAGCAGTCCTGATTTTCCTGTTTGGTGCCAGCCCATTAGGCTACAGAAGGGCTCCTTCTTTACCAAGGAGGCGATTAGTTTCTTTATTTGGAGTGTTTAATTTTCAGGGTGCAGGCGAACTTTCCATTTTTTTCTAAAATACATTTTATTGTTAGCGCAATGGTAAAAATTCCAGTTTTGTCGATGAGATTAACACTGGCAGTGCTGATGCGTGGATGTGAATCTGGGAAGCAGCAGGTTTTTCAGCCTAGGTAGAGCAGAAAATAGGTCACTCAGCTGTTGTCGTTTTCGCACCTGCCATGCCTGGGTGCTTCCTTGGCACCGTTACAGACCGTAAGGAAAAAAAGTTCTGAGCTCAGCGCTCCTAGCAATGGGAGGCTTATGCTGGGCAGCCTTTCAAGTTTCTTGTTAGAGCTGGTCCCAGATCAGGACAGACTGGGCCTTTGCAGCTGCCGCTGCTTCTTTGGAAGTGTGAGGGGAGGATAACCACTTGTGGCAATACATGCAAACCGAGGAGATCAGCCTTCCGTGGAATCCGGTGGCTGCAGCCTGCGCCTGGCGCTGGAACTGGCTGCCACCGCTTGGGCTGCACTGGAACACGTGTCTGTTGTCACGAGCTCCTGGAAAAAGTAAGTGTCCTGTAGTTTTTCTACACTGATTACTGAAAAAAAACAAACCAGGGTCCTGGCAACTGCAGTTGTAGCATTTCTCGGAGGTGAAAACTTCTTGGCAGCACGAAAGGAGCCTATTGCAAAATGCTTCACTTGCCCAAGCACTGAGAAACTGGTTCTCCCGTTTTCCACCCAGGTGCCAGGCACTGCCTGAAGAGATGCCTGTCCACCTCGCTGCTCCTAGGCCCTGTCCCTGGGTGGCAAAAGGGGCGGATGAAAGACTTCTGCCTGGTTATTTGTCCCTTCCACAAGAGGGCTGTGGTGGATGCTTTCTTTCCCACTCATGCTATGGGTGCTTGAATAGGTGTTCTCAGAGACTATATGGCCAAAGGGTTCCTGACCTGTCAACAAGCTGCTGAAAATCACTGGGTTTAAACCAAAAAACTGAACACTACAGACAGCATCCTTTAAATTATGTCTAAGTGCTTGAGTCCTGTCTACCTGTAGTATGCCAGAACCATAGCCCTTGTTTTGGGGGTGTGGGTGGGGTGGGAACAGGACCAACAATAATGGGGAAATTTTCTTTCTTATGGCACTGGCAATGTGCCTTTAACTTGGTGTGGCCTGGAAGCAGAGTTTGCTCTCTGCCATTCCTGCTCTTGCCTGGTGAACTGCCAGCTGTGGGAATAAGGGGCTCTGAGAAGTTCCTCTGCCACAATTGTCCCAGGAAGCTAACAATCAGGAGGAGACATCTGCATATGCAGATGTGTTTTTTTCTAACAGGCAAAGTTTGTTAGAGACAAATGGCCTGTGTGCCTTCATCACTTATTCTCCATCATCTGGCTTCTCATTTCACGTACCACGCAGCCATTGTTTAGGGTCAAAACGATTCAAAGTAAATAATTTAAATGGAAGCAGTCAAGTCGTAATGTGGAGAGGGCTGATAATGGGGATTAGTGTCTGGGACAGGGATTGCCGTAGGTATGGTGAGTAAGCCAGGGAGCTGAATCACTTCTGTCGGTGATATTATGGGGACATTAAAATTGCTTCTTGAGCAGAGGGATGGGATAATAGATGGGTTAAGTTTTAAAAATTGTAACTGAGTTCCAATACTAATTTTGTCAAGGTTTCTAGGAAGTAGAAAGTACGTGGAGAAGATGATAGCTAAAGCTAGCACTGAGCTATTCCCAAGTAATTTGCCTTGAGCGGTGCTTCCTGAGGTGGAGGCTTCTGCTGGGCCTCCGTTTCCTTTTAATACAGAAAAAATATACAAAACACACATGGGTTTCAGGGGATTTCAGCAAGTTGAAAGGACCATGGCTTGTTTATAATACAGAAGAGACCCTTGCTTGTATATGATGTACGCAACAGAAGAGTATTTATGCAGTCCCTATATGTTTTGTGACCTCCGTGATTTGAGGATGAAGAATAATCCACTGGCAGCCACTGAGAGCAAAGAGGGCACAAAAGGAAACTGAAATGCACCGGGTGCTGGTGCCTAGGTGTGTTTGGGAGGACTTGCTCACCTTCCAGGTGCTCCAGGAACATCCTCTTGAGGACTGAGACTGAAGGGAGACAGGGAAACAGCCCAGGTGTTTAAAAGCTGCTATTAGGAAGATGGAAATCTCCAAGACTGCCCAGGGGGATGACCTGGTTTGCTGCAGTGAGAGCAGATTGGATGGAGGGTGAAAGTCCAGTTTAAGGTTAATGAAGCATAAGAATAGGCTGCAAACAGGTGTGGAGCCTCATCAACAGTTTTATAGTCTTATAATAATCCCTTGGATGATGGACGACATTCATCAGGGATGGTCTAATCGCTGTGCCAGGCAAAAACCTGTAGGAAGCACAAGAGGACTGCAGGTGGGGGAGTTTAGGGAACCACCTTTCAGACTATACTTGGTGTCTGTGAGCAAGGATTTCTTCTGAAATCTGTGGACTCTGGATCAGACCCCCACATTCCAACATTCCCTTAGATATTGGGATTAAGCACGTGTAATTGGGAGCTTAGTTTAATAGAGATGCATTAGGTAACTGAAGATCTGAAAAGACAGCCATACGGACATAGATGTGTGGAAGGGAAACATGCGTTGTAGATCCCAAGAATCTGATTTTAAAATACACACTGCTGAATTTTTCTGTGGTTTGAGTATTCTGGGTACATTCAGTCACAATTTATCTCGCCGTAGCCTGACTGGTGATGCTCTTTCCGCTGTGTTTTAATACACTGGCCCATTATTACCACTGCAGTTGGTGATAACTTGCAATGCACAGTCTGGTTTAAAAATACAGATATATAACGGAGCACAACCGGGTAACGAGCATCTCCCCTGGTCTTCCAGAGCAGTGTGTCTGCAAGCCTTTCTGTCTGACCTAAAATGTCACGTTTCAAAGCCCTGTTTCATTATCATGGCGCCTGCTAGCTGCAGTAAAGGGTCTGTTAGCAGCCCCGTTATAAATCCCAACTTCCAGGAGTTTACAATTCAGCAGTAAAAAAGTGCTCTAGGCTGAAGTTTGGCTTATAAAGTCTCAGGGAAGGAACAATTGTGATTTCTCTGTCCTTTCTTTTTGCATTTGCTCGTGCACACACAATTCATTCAGGAGGTTTTACTATCCCCTTTCAGCATTTAAAAAGATTAAATGGTTATTAATATTTCAGTGCTGACTACTGTTCATGACCAGTCAATTGATTCACGGTGCCTGTTAACCCAGCCGTGTTTGATGGGTCCAAGCTGCTGTTTCACAAACCTGCTGCGAGGCTGCAGAAGGATGGAAACAGCCCTGCGTGGATTGCAGCAATCGCTCATTAGCGGTTGATTAAAGTGAGCTTTGGAGCGAGCCCTCTGAATCGGGGAAGCACAGGGTGAGAGCCTCCAGTGGCTGCGGGCAACCCTGAGGTTGTGTGGCCCCTGCTCAATATTGGAGGATTAGGAAGGGCCTGAGCCGCTATGTCCTCAGCATGATTTAATTTTGCCACTTGATCCTATGCAAATGTGGCACTGTCAGCTCTCCCAGGGGCAAGTCTAGCACTAGGAGGAGACTTCATGAGATTCTCCCAGCTCGACTGTTTCCTCACTAAAACTATGGTTCCGTGAAATCAATTATTTCCTCATATTTTGGTTTACAGGAAAATTTACTATGGAAAGAAGTTATTTCCATTTATTACTCATGGAAATTACAGAAAAACTGCTTATGTTAGCCTTATGGAAAATATAATAGTGAATTCTATTTTAATTCTTTTTTAGAACATTTTTATCGGATATATAACACATTTGTTCTGTAAAGTTCTTACAGCCAAATGAGGGATAACAAATATGGTTCTAAATACATAACTAGAATGAAAAGGTTGAAAATGAGACTTTTAAAAGATTAAAGTGTTTTGTTTTAAATGTAACCTTTTTTTTTCCTTTTAGAACAGATTTTTGGTATTTTCTTCTGATCCAGGGTTTGGTCACACTTAAATCACAGTATTTCTTATAAATCCCCAAATAAACTTGCTGTGCACTGTAACTTTTATACTCAGTCCTGAGCGTAGTAGTATTTGCAAAATCAGGACTGAGGGGTGTATTACAACCCACACATGAAGCAGCAGTAGCTCGGCAGCAAAATGTCTTCACTAATACAGGACTAAGTCACCCTCTGGACTCTCTCCACATTTCTTTCCACTCTCCCACCCCTTCATATTTAACTTAGAAAGGCATTGTAGAGAAGATGAGTTCTCTTTAGTGTCTTTTGTGTATTTGTATGATAATTATAAATGATAATTGTAAAATATTTGACCAGATATTAAAAAATTTAGTTCGAATGACTGAAGTGAGACATCAGATTTTGAAATCTACAGTGTTTTTTGTTTTGTTTTGTTTTTTTAATCTGCATTCATTTATGCCAGTTTAAGATTTAGCTCTTCTCTTAGATCTTCTCTTATTTTCTCTTCCATTGGATTATAACCCCACCTGCATGCTCTTAATGATGGGTTTTCAACTTCCAGCTGATTTATGGATTGATTTCTTTCCTCCTCTCTCTCCTGAGAAAACTGACAGAGTTGCAGACCTCACCGGCTAGGGCTGTTTTGTGATAAATCAGTCAGGGAACACCTGAACGTATCTCCAGTGCCTACAGTAGCTTTCTCCCGTGCCTCTTTTGGACCTGCACTACAAGCACAACCTGTGCAGACCAGGGGAGCGTGGGACCCAGGTCTCTTGTGTTATTTGCTTGTACCACGTTTCCTTTCAGGCATTTTCTTTTTAATATGACACGACTAATTTTTAATTATCATTTTATTTGCTTAGCATGGCGCACATATTAAAGACACTCAACAGCTGGTTCTGGTGGGAGAATATATGGATGCCTATCAACGTCACATGGGCACATTTTGTAGACCGTGAAGGCCTTGTCTTTCCAAAACCACATCAGTTGTACGCCACAATACCGTATGCTTTTGTATTGCTGATTATCCGATTCCTCAGTGAAAGGTAAGAAACAGAAATTCCATGTAATACTCTCGTTAGTTGTTGTTAATGCTAAAAAATAAAATTGGAAATTAAGATAATGTAAGAATATTGAGCTAAAGATTTCATAACAGAGGGTTAGCTGGGAGTCTGCTAAAAATACCTACTACAGGTAATAGTGAAGATGAAAACCTGGGAAATATTTTTCACTATCAGGAACATGCGATTGTGGTCCAATCTAGATGGAAAGCATTTCTCTCATTTCTAGAACAGCATTTGGATAATTCTGATTATCTCCTTCCATTAGAGAAACAATTCTTTCAGAAACATTTTGGATTCCTTTTGCTTTTTCTCCTTTGGTGGAAGAGTAGAGTTATTTGTCCTCCAAACCAAACCTCTTCTCTTGTTAGAACCTTCCCCAGGACATTAGTGTAAGGCTGATAAATCGAAGGTGTCCAGTTGTAGCAAACCTACGCAGACTGGAGGGATCTCAAAGTTTCATGTGAACATTTTCTGTAGAGCTAGTAATGCTGATGCTTTTTTTCTCACTCTGGTTTAGTGATCATGGAATCATTAAAGTTGGAAAAACCCTCCAAGATCATCTGGTCCAGCTACCCCCCTACCACCACTATCACCCACTAAACCATGTCCTCAAGCACCACGTCCAACCTTTCCTTAAACACGTCAAGGGACGGTGACTCCACCACCTCCCTGGGCAACCCATCCCAATGCCTGGCAACTCTTTCTGAGAAGAAACTTCTCCTAGTTTCCAGCTAAATTTCTCCTAATTTTCAGCCTAAATGGCTTACTTCTGCAACTGGAGTCTTATGAGACAGGCAAAGGCTGGCACCATAGAAGAAAGCTACAAATATATTAAGATTTTCAATGCATTTACTTAATTATTTGTTTCAATTTTATTGGTTTTATTTGATTTTTTTTTCTGCTCTAAAAACGTGATTAGTAGTTTTTGTAATTATTTCAGGATACAATGAGGAAATTTGGAATGTCATAAGTTGAACAGACTTAAGACAGAACCAGATAAGATCATTCATGTTAGAGATCAAAAGTAATTTGGTTCATATGTTTATAACCATGCACAGTGTCTCCTGAGTAAATGCTTGCCCAACTGTCTCACTGCGCTGCTGTTGGAAGTTGCTCATGTGAATAATTAGCCCATACATCTGGCGTGCAGTGAATCGGGCCATGAATGAAGAAAACTGACCGCTGCTATGAGTAATAGGGAATCAGTCGCTGATATCAGCAGAGAGGAAGGGGCTTTTGTTGTTTTTGTTTTTCTCCAGAAAAGCCTGCCCAAGTAGAAGAGCAAAACAGTTGGCTTTGCAGCTCCTAGTAGTGGAAAATGGAAGAGAAGGAGAAGCCTTCAGTTTCTGGGGGAGTTGCTGTGTGCCACTGGCTAGAGGCCACATGCAGAATGCTGTTTCCTGGGCCGTGGTAGCCCAGCATGACAATGTGCTATGTGACTACCTGTCACCAGGAGAGATTATCCCAGAAGCAATCTTGCAGCATCTGCTCACGTTTCTTGTTCCCTTAACTATTGCTTAACTCAAATGTGTCTGTGAAAAAGACAAGGACGAAAAAACAGGATTTTTTCTACAGTTTCAGAGCATTTCAGGACCAGAAAATCAAGTGGTTGTCTACTTTTTTTTTTTTTTTTTTTTTACTTTATTTTATTTTCCCATAGTTGCTAATATGCTATGATTCTCTTTTGGGATTAGTTAAAGGGAGATTATTTGTTCTCATGGAGCAGTCATATCCTATAGCAGATTACAATGCTTCAGATTTACTTTGTTCATATCCTGGTATGAGAATAGCTGAGGTCTTGTAACTGTGTTGTATTTTTTAATCTTTTCATTCTGTGTCTTTTCAGATATATTGCTATACCTCTAGCAAAAGCCTTAGGTATAAAGAATGTAAGACGTGTGAAGCCACAGCCTAATCCTGTTTTAGAGAGTTATTTCCGGGAGTGCTCAAAACACCCATCCCAAGTAAGGATTCTCATTCTTTTAAAGTAGTTTTGGGTTTTGGAAAATCCCAAGTTTTACTGTTTCAATAAGCCATTAGCAATGACATCATGGGATGAGTTCCAGCTGATTGACAGATGACTTAATTTATTTGGGTTTATGTTGCTTTTCTGCTGACAAGGGTATATAGCATCCAAAACAGAAAATACGTTTAAGATGTTTAATTTTCTGGCATGCTGTTCTAGGTTAGACTGTTAGTATTATTTCCAGTGAAGATCAGTGCTCCATCTTTAACTCATTCTGCCTGGAGAAAACATCAGCTGACATCTGTTGTTGGAAAGTGCTATCATATTTATTGCTAGCAGTAATATTGGAACACTGGTATGGAAGCTGTTTGATCTGTTATATTGCTGCATACTTAATCTTGGTTTATGTAAGAAAGAAAAACAATCTTTATATTAACTTGCTGTTGATTTTTAAATTTGAACAAGAAGAAGATAAAAGTATCTTACCACTTAGTATTTCAAAACATGGAGCAACCTGATTGCTGATGGGAAGCAGGTACCTTGCTGCGAATGCAATCTCAGGAGGTTCACTTAACTACAAATACCAAACAATTGCAGTTTTCCTATGCTGCTTTTTAAAAGAAAGATGTGCCTCGTTGATGATTATTGATATGTGGAATTTTGCATTCTGTCCCTGACTCTGCTGCTCTCTTATTGTGGTTTTGGCCTGCTGTTGTCAGGAGTAGATGTATTCATGTTCACATGTGAGCACTACTCTCTGGCCAAGTACCCTGATCTCTGTTTCATAACTTCCTTCTGCATGAGTGCAATTTGACAATTAATCTCTGAAGGGAAGCACAGAATTCGCATTTTTGTACTTCTTGGTACACAGGAACGATTCAGACTGCCTCTTCTATGTGTCTGGCGTAGGAACCAGCATGTCTGAGTGCACAGAGGCCTGGCTGGTGACTGGGGGCATCTAGGCTCCATCATCTGTCTAAACAAAGTCAGTATTCCTGTGTGGCAAGTAGGGAGCTCTTCAGCCAGCAGGATGGGCTGAACACAGAGCCTGTTGGCAGTCCTGCCCTCCCCAGCAGCTGAGGTGCCTTTGCTCACATACCAGAGCTTGCTTCCAAGAGGAGACTAACTGAACAGGACTTACCTTGGCGGAGGCAGTGCTGCTGCCACCCACTATTTGCATTCCAGCCTTGGAGGGAAAGAACTTCCCCAGGGATGAGTTGAACACTGCCTCTGCTCCTGCAGCTGCCCCAGGGCAGGTCAGCCCACACGTTCTGCCTCTTAGGATGGAGGAGAGGGAGGAAGCCGACAAGCTGCAGGTGGGGCACCGAGCACCCAGAAATGCAGGAGACACGTGGCTGAAGGAGGAGGCAGCTCATCGTCCCTAATCATTAGAGCAGGAGGTAGTACCTTGTGCTTGGTGCATGCTGGCATGGCCGCACAGCAGAGCCACTTCACCTTTAGAGTACAGATAAAGCACAGACAACTGGCAGCTGCACTTGAAAGGCTAGATGGATTCTTAGGTGACTGCTCTAGCCCTAAGTTATTTTTAGGTGTTGAAAGGAGGCAGTCTGGATTTTGCTCAGTAAGATTAAGTGACTTGCCCTGCTGCGTGGCAGAATGCTGAATTTGAGAACAGAGCCCAGCTCGCCTTAATGCTGTCTCACCAGAAATACTCATTTAAATACAGTCTAATGATTATGCAAGGTAAAATATTGGATGCAAGGTCTACATGCATCAATACATGGCACTCCAAAAAGTTACCCACTGCCAAACCTCTTGCTTAGCAGAAAAAGTTGCATCTTTTAAGTTATCAGAAGCCATTAGAGTAGTGATAGCACAATTTGTAGACCCATACATTTCATGCCTGATTTATTAACATAAGTTAGTGTCTTGAAAACCCAGTATTTCTGTGAATGTCATTCAAAAATTAAACCAGGAAGTCTCAAAGTTAAAACACCACGGACAGTTAATATTAGTAATATTGTTAAATGAAGGTCTTACGATTGTGGGAAGCTGATGTGTGAAGTACAAAATAAATGAAGATGACACTGGTGTAGATCTTGTTGCTAACACTCTTCCATTTTTTGCAGTCAGAGATTCAAGGCCTTGCCAAAAAGTGCAACTGTACCGTCCATTTGGTGGAAAAGTGGTTTAGGAGACGGCGAAACCTCGAGATCCCAACTGTGCTTCGGAAATTCCAGGAAGCTTTGTAAGAAAAGTCTTTTCTTTATTATGGATTTTTGTTTTGGAAAGTGATTGAGATCCTCAGATGCCCTCTTGGTTGGGGGCTTATTTCCAGAAAGCTGGGTCTGTCTGACTAGGGTTTTGCTTTGTGCGTATGCAAAGAAATTGAAAGGGTCTAGTAGCATTTCTCCAAATCCTGTGACTTAAAAATATTAGGCTTACAGTTTCCTGGGGGGAGGGGGACACTCCAAAATATTTTAGGTTTCTTCAGTACGTAATAATGGATTTATTTATAGGCTCCTGTTATGTAACACTTGATGAAAACATGTAGAGAATAGGAAAACACTTGTCTGTCTGCCTGTAATCATAAGGGAACCAAAATGCTTATTCACTGTTTAAATATGTATCTATATTTTCATCTTGGGATAATATAATGTGTGTAAAGAAGTGAGTTCAAGAGCAGGATTCCTGGCATCCTAATTAAGCGGTGGGTGTTACAGCTTGAGCATGGGGTACCATATGGAACATGAGCTCAAATCTGCTAATGAGGGTGGGCCATTGAGTAATTGCGAGTGATAACAATGAATATGTAAAAAAGTTTCAAAACCTCCTCCTGCATATGATTGAAAACTGGAAAAGCATTCAAGAGTCTGATTTTCCACAAGCATGTGAGAACTTCCCCATACATAAACATTTTACTAATTAACTATTCCAGTGTTATCCAAAATCTCATACAAATTGGAAATCCCCAAGTAGGCAGCGTGGCTTTGCTTACATAGCTCAACCCTTTTTGCTACTGAAGCTAACTGTACCAGTGTAAAACTCTTTCCTAATGCCCTGACTATTTGGGCTTTGGGCTAGCATGATTACCTTGGCAAAATTCACATGATGATATTATTTGACCTCTTTTAGTGTAGATTAGCTTAAAGAACGAGGGTTAAAAGCTCAAAGTTGAGTAGTTTATCAAGATTACTTTGTGTGAATTGATACGATAATGATTTGATCTCCTCTGGGCATAAATGCAGTTGATAGACAGAGGTGTGTTGCTGTGAAGCCTAACTGAGTTGAATAAGCTGTCTTGGCAAACTGATGTTCATTTTTTTTGTTGTTGTTTTGTGGATCAGTTAACTTTGTTTTGCAAGTGACACTAAGATTTCCTGCTATCGATACAAGAGCTGCCTGCCATGCATCCGTGGCTCTAGTTATACACAGCCAAAGACTGAAATTAAAACTTGCTTGGCAGCCTGAGTGAGAATGAAGCAAACAGGTTTTTCTTGTGCAATTTTGTGAACCTTGCTCTGCTCTTTGTCAGTGAATTTAATTGGATATAATTTTCAAGGCAACAAATTGAACAGAGTTATTCCATGCTAGTAGTCAGTGTTACGAGCGTTATGACATTTTTGAAAGCCTGCAATCTACAGGATCATTTTTCTGAATCACAAGGAAAATCTGATGAGCCAGTTCTAAGCCATACTTAAGCTATTAGTGCTCCCTGTTAAGCAACACTGGGGTTTGGAAAGTCCTTTGCATGAAACCTTCCCTGCCTTAAAAGACTCGCCAGCCTTTAACTTCACCTATTAAATTCTCTTTTGTTAGACTTGGTTTTAGAGAAAAGTTTCAAGAGAAGATTCCTAAAGTTAAATCAGAAAGATCCTTTTATATAGTTGTTGTTCTGTGCTGTCCCTGGCGGCCAGAACCAGAGTTTAAAAGGCACATGTGTAAAGTTTGGTGAATTTGGATGAATTTTACTTTGGGTTTTGTTAACCAAATTCATAAAGAAGCTTGGCTAAATGCAAAATGAGGTAGTGCTCTGGCAGTCTTGTACATACGATGAGTTCATCTGAAGCACTGAGTGCTTACTGCCAAGTGCATTCGTTCCACAGACTTGTAGGGCTGGGGACCAGTGGTGCAGTCGTGTTAGGGGCTCTGTGCTTTGGGTCTGAGTCAGGAAGTCACTGAAGCACGCGCTTTACCCTGAACACAGAATCAGTCCAGTTATGTCCACTGGACTCCTTACACCTCTGCCTGAAATACGAGGAGAGCTGATGGCAGAATCAGCCCACGTGAAGTCTGTCCTCTGCCACGGCGGTGCTTTCCCTAGATCTCTTGGTTAACTCTGAGCAAGGTATTACTTGTGAGTTCCCCTCTCTGCTTCCATTTGCTGTCCTGATTTCTGCCATTTGAATTTCTCTGTCTGTGCAGTGGGTGGTTTTTCATCATCTTAGGAAAGATGCTTCAAAGTAGAAGTGTAGAACGATTGCTTATTACCAGTGTATCTGGTGGCAATTCTGTAATTGTTGTCTTGATTTCTTCCGTGGGCATGAGACATATCGTCTTGTCTAGCCTCCACCATCCCATGCCCTCATTTTTTCTTTATTTCTTTCTCTTTTAAAATGCTGGCTCAGTCTTTGAACATCTCATTCTTTCACCTGGGATATCAGCCTCCAGGTAATGCAGGGCTCAGAAAGGAGGGGTTGCTCTTACCAGTCTCATCATCTCTCAAATGACACTTCATTACTGTTTGCCAAAGACCACAACCATCATTTTTATAAATCTCTCAATTAGTGCTAGCATAAGCAGTGTTCTTGTCAAGGCTTTTTCTCCTTTTTAGCAAATCACATTTCTGGGAGGCCGTTTGCTGTTCTCATCTGGGACACTTCATGTTCCATGAGACGTTCTCACCAAGTCTGGGGCCGCATTTCCCTTTCTCTGTGATTATGACCTTTCTCAGCATGCGATGTCCTGCAGCATTTTCCTACTGATCTTGAAGAGTTGCTCTGGGAAAGGTCAGGCTTGTTCCAGCAGAGGAGAAAAGGGCAGAGGAAGAAGTTTTCCATCACCTGTAGAGGTGGGAGTGGGAACGCTCTGGCTGAGTCTCCAGCCACACCCAGTCCCAGGGACAATACCTCCCACGCAGGTTCCAGAGTCATCACAAGGCTGATTGCTGGCTCCAAATCACAGCATCCTGCTCTCCCATACATAAGCAACAACATAGTTTCGGTTCCCTAAGATACACAGGATTTTTTTTTCCCTTTGCTGACTTACCAGATCAGTGATGAAAATCTGCGAGTTTTATCTGCCTTGATGGATATGCATTTAAACCACAAAAAGCTTAGATCAGGCTTAGTTAAATGCTGGCAAACCTAGTCAAAGATTGAGGTTTATGGGTAATCCAGGCCTGAGCAGTAAGATAAAAGCTTACACGGTATCTGTTAAAGCGTCGTGGAGCTCCCCAGTTTTCAACAACTGGTGTTTAAAAAAAAACACAAAACAAAACAAAAAAATCAAAAGAAATTAGCTCAGTAATTGAAACAAGTACCTGTTGGTGACAGCATTCACAATGTTTGATCTGACTGGAAAGTATACGCTATGTGGCTGAAAGGTTTTCTGCTGATAGCGAGCTGTGAGATTGAATATTCATGTTGGACTAAACTAGAGGAATTGATACAGTGGGGAAGGTTGCTGTCATCAAACATTTAATTCTTAGGGAATTTATTACAATTTGCTGTAACTATTAGCTTGATCAGCTTGAGCCTGGCTGGAGAACTTCTCCAATAATCACAAGCAAGATATCTGTATTGTGATAATGTAAAATCATTTATTTTTTTTAGCAATTAGGTAAGTATAAGTATTTGAGTAACAGTAATTTAGATATAGCCCACACATGGCAACCCTTAATGTGGAATGTGAGGGCACATTTACGTGGAAATTGTCTGTGATACATGATGACTTGCTGTAGGTCTGACTCAGGATAATATCAATGGGAAAATAATGTTCTTATTTTTTCCTTTTAATCTTGCAGCTGGCGATTTTCATTCTATCTTACATCTTCCATCGCTGGATTTATATTTCTATATGATGTAAGTTAATTTCATTAAGGTTTGATATTATATTTTTAACAGAACAAGATCTTCGTGAAGCCCATCAAAGCCCATACACTCTGATTTCAGTGGCTGCTTGGGTTCAGATCTGTGATGTATGTAATCTATGTGGAAGGCTGCAATATACACTGAAGTTTTGCGTGGATTTCTAAATTTTCTTCTCAAACTCCTGTAATTAAAAAAAAAAAAGTATGAGTTATCAGCCTTTTTAAGAAAGGTTTTAAGTCCCATAGATGGTTTTACAACGTGCCTTGTTAACACCTACAAATGCATCGCATGGCCACGTTTTTCTCAAAGGAAGCAGTAAAACTTTTCTGGCAGTGCTTTTTGGGGTCACAACAGCAGTATGTTTCATGGCTATTTATTGAGGTGTTACTCCCAACTTCTGACTCAGCAGCAAGAGAGAGAGTGCTGCTTGTAACTATGTGAGCACTGCCTGGGGTGTCATTAATGCTTCTCCTGAGCAACTGAACCATTTTCAGTGTGTCTACGGTCATTTGGCTCTTCTCCCCAAACGCTGTTTATCATCACAAACCAGTGTGTGTGGCTGGTAAACACAGCAAAATCTAATCATTGTGGCAACATATCTTGAGTAATTGCAGTAATAAAACACACGCCCACTGCTTTGGATGATGAAATGATGAACTGGAATGCTTCAGGTGTCCTGAAGAGAAGCCAAAACGCTGAGACTAATACAATAAATCTGAGATGTAAGATCTCTTCAGAAATTGGTGGAGAGCAGTTCTCCAGATCATAGTTTCTCAGCTCGCTCCACATAGAGAATGTTTAAGTATTAAGGATTTTGGAGTTAAGATGACTTATTGTGGCTCAGCTGATCCGTCTGAATCATCTGTCTTTCCCAGAAACCTTGGTTTTACGACATATGGCAGACGTGGGTTGGCTACCCGTTTCAGGTGAGCTTCTTGGCGTCGGTCCGTTGGCCTGAGGGCTTTCCAGGTATTTCCCCATTGGAAGGGGTAATCCGCAGACATGCTTCTCCCTCCCAGCGGGCACCACCCGGAGAGGTGTGGCACCAGACTCCTCTGCCTTTCCTTGGTACCTCCTGCTGACTGTTGCAGGACTTCGCAGCCATCTGCCTGTGCTGCAACACGGCCCTCCAGCCAGACCACTGCCATTCCCACCAGCTTACCAGCCGCCCACAGTACTCGTTTTGTGTTAGAGGCTTCAGTGCAGAACCCTGAGGCTTGCACCAGTCCTGGTGTTGCTTTGAGGCCCTGCAGAACAGCGTTATATGGCTGAGCAGCTCAAGTGCCGCATGTTCCCTGGACCCTGTTGCTCAGTAGCACAGGCAGAGGGAGGGAGCACTGCAGTGGTTTGACTTGGCAGAATGCAATTCCCTGCTCTGGGAATCTCTGCTCAGGACTGATTTTTTTTTGTGTGTGTGTATGCAGTTTTTTTTAACCTCCAAGGGTCACGAGGCTCTGGTTTCTTACTCAAATATCATACTAACAATCCCCTAACAGATGGCTCCAAGCAAACTTCCTTCTTGCCCACCTGTCAGAGGTTCTTGTGTGCTACCCCCTCCTTCATATTTCTGTAAATCTGTGGCCCATCATCCTTCTCCTTATTCACCTTCTACTCAAGGGTCAAAAATAAAAAGAATCCTGCCTCCCAGCTGGGTTTGCCAAGCTCCTCTTACTCATGGGACCTGATAACCAAGCTTATTCCCTGCCACCTGGGAAAAGTATTTAAGTAAATGAGCAGCCAAGCTGATGTAAACTCAGCATCCTAGCCCTCTTGTGCCCTAAGCAGAAGCATAGGATTTTAATGTAAGCAGATGACTTTTTAGTCATGAGATGTATAAGTATCTACAATGTTCGCCAAAAAGGAAAGCTTCGTTTATTTGCAGTTGTTTGTAATTAAGTGCAGAAGCACTCTGTGTGTGTAGTTCTCTGACAAAAACATAGAAGAAAGCATGCTAAAATTTGGGGGTGGGGGAAGAACAGCAGAAACAGAGTTCGGTCTGAGTAAAGGTTAAAATATTTGGCTCCCAGAACATCCTTCTTAATGAAGCCCAGAACATGGATTTAGTTTAGTTTAATTTTTTAAGCAAGACGCATCAGAGAAGCAAAAGAAGTGAGGAAAGGAAAAAAGAAGTAATTTCACTTGGCATTCAACTTTTGGTATTCTCCAAGTTAACTGTTTGTTTGTTTTTTCTTCACTTACAGACTTTGCTGCCATCCCAATACTGGTACTACATGGCTGAGATCAGTTTTTACTGGTCTCTCCTATTTACGCTGGGGATCGATAACAAAAGGAAGGCAAGTGGTCAGGCTGGTTTGTAGCTAGAACCTCTGTTTCTACGTGGAAAAATAAAGGCTTATACAAGTGGCCTGCTAAGGGATTTGGTGCAGCCACATGAGGGCAGCATCAGTCTACACCTGGCACACATGCAGCCATCCACGTTCTCCTGGCTGCCAAGGGCACCTCTCTGTGACAAGCACTGCCTGTCACTTCACCTGCAAGGAGACCCTCAAGGGCTCTGTGCTTGCTTGTCTCTATCTTTTTTCTTCTCTTCCTCACAGGATTTTATGGCTCATGTCGTTCATCACTTGGCAGCAATTGGGCTAATGAGTGGCTCGTGGTGTGGCAATTATGTGCGTCTTGGAACTCTGGTGATATTTGTGCATGATACTGCAGATTTCTGGCTTGAGGTAACCCCGACTACTTTTTTAAAATATATATAAATAATTATTATTTTTTGTTGTCCAGCTCGTGTTCAATAATGTTTTAATCTCTTTGCCATCAGATTCATATGTTCCCTCCCTGTCCTCACAGAGAGACAGCTTCACACAGTCATAAATTGTAAGCTAAAAGAGAGCTTCCAGATAATTTACAGAATGTTACAGAATCCATTATGAGAAAAGAGTAGAAGAGAAGTTCAGCAGTACAGTACAGGGACTGGAAATACAGCTGCCTCCCTGGATTATTCTTGTTTCACTGTTAAAATTAGACCAAGTTGGCTAGCCTGCGAACAGCTTGTCATGATACCAATTCTCAAGCAAATTTAGCAGCTAAAAGCTTGGCTACTTCTCTAAACTGTCTTAATTTTGTCAGCATTCACACCCCTGTGTTGACCCAAGGGGCACGTCTACATCATACAGTTCTGGCTGGAGATACTCAAACTGTCTCTGAACAAGATATCACAGGTACTGGCAGGAGAAAAACATCTCCCTTTTTCTCCATCTCTGGACTAAATATCAGTGTTCAGAAATGTCCTAGGATTAGGAAGTGTTTTTCTCTGCACACACCTCTGTGGTGACAGAGACCTGCTGCTGGGTTTCTCAAAAGATGAATGTGCTCTGTGGTTCATTCAGTGGCATCATTCTGGTTTTATAGCCCCAGGATTCAGAGTGTAGTTTCATCACCTATTTTGCTGGCAGTACCCACGCAAGCAGATCTTGCAGGCTGTTGCCTCTCATTGCACATTTCTTCTCCAAATATGCTTTCAGTTCTGATGGAACAACTAATAGTAGGGTCATGCAGTTGGGGTTGGTCCAGATTAAAGGCAGTTTCTTTCCCTGGATTGCTTTTAATCCTGAACTGTTTTGTGGTCCAACTCACTGTGTGGCCCTTACAAACAGTTGAACCAACAGCTGGTACGACAGCACTTAGATGCAAACTGAAGTTGGATACTGGCATAAGTTAATTCAGCCCTGTCACTCAAAAAGAAGTTGATCAAAATGCTTTTTAGACCTAGGCTTGGCACCTGGAGCTTTGTTCACACTTTAGAACAGATGTTTTGTTCACCAGGATGATTCCTGAATGAAGCATGGGGAGCTGCACTCTTCTGCTACGGGAGAAGCAGTAATAATGATCTTTACTAGTGGGATAGAGACTAAAGCTAGGACCTCCAGCCCTCAAAGAGGAAGAAAAGTTCCAAAATTAGGCACAGAGAAGGGTAACTTGCGTGCACCAGAATGCCTGTGTATAAAGGGCTACTGCTCCTCTGGAGTGTGGAGATAGGGCCAGCGGCTTCTCTTTGATTCAGCCCGCTTTGAATCTGGTACAACGAGAGATGAACTTCTGTTTTCAAGAGCACTTTGTGTTTTCATGACACTTCTACTTTCATATCGGAGAGCTGTTCCTTAGGCCCCTGATACAGAGTTCTTGCCTTTGAGATAAAAGGAGAAATATAAACAAGGAATCTGTTTTGATGCTGCTTTATTAGGTATCAGTAAAATGATTGCTCTGTATGTCAGGCAGGGAGGAAACCTGCTTAGGTGGAAGATGAGTTCTTGTTTATGAAAATGCAGAAAGGAATTTATTTCAGAGAATATTTGTAATATGTTTGAATTTTGTTCAATGTAGGCAGCCAAAATGTTTAATTATGCTCGCTGGGAGAAAACCTGCAATGTGCTGTTTATCATCTTTTCTATCGCATTCTTCATCACGAGGATCATCCTGTTTCCCTGCTGGTAAGCGATATTTAATGTAGTCACAGCCTTTTATTTCATTCCCATTTCCACTGAAAGGTTAGTATTGGTTGTGATGGGAAAAGAAAAGAAATGGATTGTATCTTAAAGAGCAGAAGCTGGGCTTTTGTTATTGTTGACTTTAGTGGCCAGCTGGAAGAGTTGATAGAAACCTGTAATTTTCTTTAAAAATTTAAGTAAAAATAGTTTTAAAATGAACCTCCTGAAAATGTATTAACATAAATAAAGACGTTCACTTATTATTTAACTTGTTTTCATAAATTGTAGTTAAATATTATGAGCTCCTGTGTTTTTGAGTGGGTTGAACTACTTAATTACAAGAAGTCATAGTCCCTTTCATTACATCCCTCCTGCTGTAAAGCAGAGTACAGTCTGTCCTATACGATTACAGTTATTTATTTATTTTTTTGGAGTGCATACTTTTTGGTATGTAGCTCTCAGGTAGTACCTCGCCTCACTTATCTACATGGGGGACATTCAGAAAAATTAAGGTAAACCAGTTAATTTATGAAGTCAATGCACATAAATCATAACTTTGCACTGCAAATTCATGTGAGCATTTACTATGATTTAATCTGCTTTGGAGTATCCACACGGGTGCTTAGTGTGCTTAATGCTTAACATGTTTAGCTTTTAAGAAGCGTTTAATGTGTTTCACATTCACGGTTTCATTGATTTGTTCTAGTTTGCTTTCATGCCCCTCCCTGCATGTGGACAAACCCTTAGAGACCCAAGCTGGTTAAATTAATAGTTCTGAACATTGATCAGCACAAGGTTTTAATTTCCTGTAGTATTCTTTTTCAGAAATGCTGATGTCTTTTACTTTCTTGTTATTTTTTGATTAACTGCACAAACGATCTCCAATCATTTTGCTTCACTGAGTTTCTTGTTCTTGAGCTTGGAAGCAAAACGTGATGAGATTAAAAGGACTCAAAAAGTCCAAAATAATATGGAAGAAGTGAAGTCTCAAGATAGACAAAACACATGTTAATTAACAAAGAGCCCTGTTGCAAAGCTTGCAGGATTTTCTCTGAATGTGGATTTCAGATTAGAGAGAATTTGCATGAAAAAATGGCACAGACAAGCTCTGTGTTGCATATTATCTAGACCACACAGAGCTCAAGATAAAAAAAAAAAAAAAAAAAATCTATCCTTTTTTAGCATACTTTCATGCAAGACTCAAATTTCTTATCTTCTGAAGTCTGTACTTCAGTAGAGATAATATAGTTAAGCCACAGCTTGTTAATTAATCTGTCATTTTTGCAGAGCTTTTTAAAATTTTGTGGAAATAGTTAATCAGTTTGGAATGTGAAATAAGAAATCATTATAAATTGCATGGAGAAGGAATCGTGCACCATAACAGTGACCTTTATTTTTTATTTTTTTTTAGGATTCTGCGTGCCACGTTGTATCAACCTACATACTACTCCACTACTCCTGTCATAGCATATTTCTTATTCAACGGGCAGCTATTGATCCTTCAAGGCTTGCATTTATATTGGGGTTACTTAATCTTCAAGATTTTGAGAAGGTTCATTTTCTTAAAGGTAAGCAGTTCTGTTTCTGCTGAGAGGTGTGTGAAATATCAGCCATATACTAACACTTCCAGTAGAGGTTACTTGGAATCTCTTATTGTTTTCATGAACTTTCATGTCAGCATTTTTTATAGGCACCTACTAAGTAGAAACATGTTCCAATGTGCTTTCTACCCCTTGTTTGTGTTTAAGGTCATAGATCAGAATATCAAAACTTCAGGTACAGCCTTTTTTCTTTTTTTTTTCCTTTTTTTTTCCCCCTGTATTTGATGTTTTGCTCTGATAATAAATGAGAAGTGAACTGTTCCAAAAACTGGAGCCCAAAGATGGCATTGAACTCTTGAAATTCCTGCGTTCAAGGTGAAAGTACTCTTTTTCTCCCTGGACTTTGTAAAAACATTAAAAAAAAAAATAATAATCATAATGGGGAGAGATGAGTGTTGAGATATTTTAAAAACTAGAAAAGAAGTCTTGTTCTTCAGGTTCCTCTAAATCTGAGGCTGGCTATACTTGAACATTCTGTTTTTGGAGTAAGAAAACCATTCGAAACTGATTCAGTATTATACTATGACATAATGAAATAGTCACATTCATCTGTGACATATAAATAGATCAGCAAGAAAGCTGAAGAAACAGCTCAAAGGCTTTTTCTTTTATTTTCAAAGAGGCTGTTTAAAAAGACTAGCTTTGCTGAGGATGTCTCAACATATTCACATGTTCAGTAGAGTAACAGTGCAAGTTTGGGGCTGTCATAATCTACTTTTAGCTTGTAGATGAAATTGATGTGGGGAAAAAGCTGTAAAATGTTTGCTGCAATCTAAGTCTTGATTGACTGTCTGAAGTAAAACTTTCACAAGGTCTTTTCTAGCAAAGTATGCCAACAGCATTTAGAAAAGGACTTGGGAGAATGTCTCAATATTTGACACAACCATTGACAAGGATACTTTGCTAATTAAGGTGAAACTTGTGCTATTGAAAAATGGTATTCCTTGTGAGGATCAAGAGACAAAAATCTTGTGATACTGTCCTTTTATCTGAAGCAGTTCATGCTGTGAAGCATCTTAAGGAAATAGAAATGTTCCTTTCTACCCATATTAACTATCATTCGACTGCTAACAGAAACCATCCTATAATTTACTTTCTGGAAATAACTAGCAATGAGCGCAGTGCAAATGCAATTACACCCAAGTTTGTTGCCCAGGCATGGCCCCTATCACTGCAATAACATCCTGACCCGAGCCTCTTTGAAGTTGATGGAAAGAGTGCTTCAGATTATAATAGTACTGGATGAAACCAGCCAATTATTCTGGCTATCACCATGCAAATGAGAAAGAGACGGGTCAAATATCTTCATTCTCAGTCCAAGCTTGTTCTGTAGTCCAAGTATTTTTCTACTCTTCATTTGTTTATTAATTTCAACCAGTATGATGAGACCCTATCAGCAAAGCTTGTCTTTTTAAACAGCTTTTTTTGAAAGAAAAAGCCTTTAAATCAACAAGAAAGCTAAAGAAAAAGCTCACTTACATGCCATAACTGTGAACTGCAAATTTGTAGGATGTGGTACTTTAGGCCCAGTCTTGCTTTGATGGAGAGGCTCAACTAAGAAGTGAAATGCCATGACTGACTCAGTGTGGCTTGGCATTGTAATCCGTAATGATTGTTTCTAATGGTTGGGATTTGCAGTAACAGAGTGTAAAGTGGTATTTTTAATTCCTAAAATGATGGTTGCTGGGAGTGTTTGTGCTTTATTATTCCTTCCTTCCATCCCACTGAATTTTCCTGATGACTTTTGACAAGGGTCTGAATAAGAGGTTTCTTGATGAGGTACTTGGGGGGATGATTTTGTTGATATTTTTTGTTTGTTTTGTTTTCTGCTTTATTTAAACCTGGCCTCTCAAGGAAGCTTGTGCAATCAAGCTACATTTATGTGATCCCAGTGCCAATCTCAGCCTCATTGGATGGCATTCCTGGATTCCTACAAGTCTTAAGCTCGATATCAATAGGGAGACTCAATGGCTTCCGTACAGGAAAACTGGTTACAAATACAACCCTTGCTGGAGGGTTGACTTGAACATAAAGAAAAAATCTGCGGAAGAAATGGCTTGCTTTGTGCTGCTTTTGAAACATGTTTTTATGTTTCTTTAGAGGCTGAAAGACTTGTGTTTCTTCCATGTTGCTTTCCTCTGATTAATTACAGTCTTTCTGGCCAGGCTTATTGTTAGTGTTTTGCTTCTTGTTTTCTTTTTTGATTGTGGCCTTGCCCCTGCACTGAGCTGGAGTTTGTCCTACATATTTCACTGTAATTTGACAGAATTTTTGACATCATTTTAGCTCATTGTCAAAATATCTGTCAGGATGTTTCATCAAAATTAGCCAGATTGACTAACATCTCCTATCCGTCTTTAACATCCAATCTTATAAAATGCCACTAAAGGCAAATTTTTGTTGAGAAATTGACATCTAATAGGGGAAGGTAATAAAAATAAAAAAAAAAATAATAATAAAAAAAAAAAGGAAAGAAAAATAAGGTACTTTAGCTATGAGGAATGAAGTTGTTTGACTGTGGTACAGAGAAATTTGTGCTTTACGTGAGAGGTATGACCTGGAATTTAGCAACTGCACAACAAGTGCATACAAGCCTATTGCAAAATCTGCTAATGAAATGAGTATGGCTGAAACAGTTCAGGAAGAGGCAGAAAACAAATTCCATGTGAATCACAAAACTGTAGATGTTTGTAAAGTTTTCTTACCACTCTTGAGAAGTCAAATGTAGAGGTAAGTGGACTGCTAACGTAAGTGAAAGGTAGAAGTGTGTGTTCTGTGTTCAGCAGCCACGTGTGGTCGCTGTATGCAGAGCTTGAAACGAAGGTGGCCCTCCTCGTACAACCCCGATGAGATCAAGAGAGAGCTCTCTGCTTGGCAGCTGAAGAGGAGCAGGGCTTTGGCATAGCTTTCCATCCACACTGGTTGGGTGTTGTGTTTTTTTGAGAGTCCACTGGAAAAAAGGTCTTTAGATACAACGGTTAGGAGGAGGTTGCTAGGCCAGCTATATAAGGCCAGCCTGCCCTGCCTGCTTATATGCCTTTGTAGGGGCAGAAATGCTTTATTTTGAGATAAGAGCTTTTTTTTTGTGTTAGTCACTTCTAAAAAATGTAAAAGCACCAAGCCGGCATCTCTACCAGGGATTTTTGATTCCTTATACAGCTCTCGGAGAAGATGGTTTCCAAATAACATTTTTACAGTGGCAGCAGCAGCAGGCCTAGCCCTTTTCAGTCTGCATGACTTCAGCTGGCTTGCATGTGCAGCCTGTTTTCCATAGCGGTGGCAAACTTGGCTGTGAAAGCAGCCAGTGCCTCCAGAACTGCAAAGGCAACTCTGGGAAGAACGGTGTTTGCAAGGCAGCACTTCTCTACCACCAGGTTTGTTACAGACGTGCTCCTCACAAATCGCTGTTGCTATTCTAGTGAAATGCCAGTAAAGCATTGCACTTGCATGAGGAGGGTTTTATTTCTCCGCCCAAGATTTCTAAGTTTTCATTCAGAAAATGGGCAATTTCTGACGTTTTTCTAGAAGCAAGTTAGCCACTTTAGGTGGAAAAATGAAGTCACGATGTAACTGGAGATAGGGAGTGGTGTGGTGTAAATATACAAGCCTGAAGGAAGCTCGGAGCATATCAAAGGTGTGAAGACTTTTTCTCAGCACCTTCTGTGCCTTGAGCCACCCGGTGTTGGTGGGGTCACCAGTGGAAACGGCGATAGTGCAGCAGGTAAGATCCTCTGTCATCCTTCAAAGGGCAGGTGTCTCTGATCGCATCCTTCTGGCTCACGCCATCTCCCAGCCTGGCACCCAGTAGCCTTTAATGTATTTATTCCAAGTGGGAGGTGGTGGTGTCCCTTGTCAAAGCCCAGGCTAAGGAACCGGCTTGGGTCAGACATGAACCACGGGGTGTGGTGAGGGCCCGAATCTCCAGGTGGTCACATACCCAAGTCCCCGTTGCTGTTTATTCAGAGGCTTGCACAGAGCTGTGCTGCAGCTTGCTAGAGCTGGGGGCGTAGCTTCAGTATCCTCACTGTCAGGCTGCGACAGGAGGCTGTGTTAAAGGCAGGAATTAAAGCAAAAATGACATCAGGAGCCCAGCAGCCTTACCAGGCGGTAGCTTTCTTCAATGCTTTAGCCTTCCCTCTCGTGGAAGGGTGGGTGGCTTTTGTCTGCCACTGGGTGGACAGAAGCTCTTCATCTCAGCTCTCGCCTCCCCTCTGCACTAATTATCCTGTCTCTCTGGGATAATTGCTCGGCTGGCTTGCTTCAGCCAAAAAGAGCTTGGATTAGAAACCCTGCCATCTCCCTCCTCCCGAGTACTGCAGCCAGAGATGAATTAAAATGAGGAAAAAGGAAAGAGAGACGTAGAGGATCTTGCTCTGTGCTTGTGTGTCCAATTTTCTCAGCTCTGGGAGTCTCTGGCACCTGAGCTGATGGCGCAGAGTGCTGGTCTCGACACGTGTGGGCCTTGTGCTGCCTTTCCCCCAGCTCAGTCCTCCAGGAGTGTCCTAACAAGGGGGGAAGCGAGGCTATGCTCAGCCACTTGACATCAAGAAGCTGTTTATTTTCTATGGGGTTAAATTTGGAACAGGAATATAATTTTTTTCAAGTCAAAGATTGTTGTTATGCTGGAAAATGTTTATTAAAAAAAAATAAAATCCAAACAACTGACCATGAACCCAAATGTCCTTTTCCAAAGGACATTTTATGACCCTGTTTACGAGTGAAGCACATCCCTGTACGAGAAGCCCTTCAAGGTCAGACCTGTGGGCACTTATCTTAGGTCAGTTCTGCAGCGAGAGGACGAAGGACATTTTTCAGTGTAATTTCTTTTCAAGTTAGGTCAGGCAATTGCAATGTGAGCTGCTGGCTGCCATCTTGATGTCCAAGGCCTTTTGTTGCTAGGGAACTCGGTGTGTTTCTGTAATATTGAACAATTACATGGTTAAATTACCCGCTTGTATCAGGTTTCA